TTATCGGTAACCCCTAGAAATAATTTTTTACTTAAACCAAATTCGTCTATTTTATTATTAATATAATCATTAATTTTTTCGGCTGTATGGGGGTACCGCATACGTTCAATAGTAAGAAGCGTATCAATAATTTCAAAATTAGGTGTGAGCCAATGAATCGTAATACTGATATATCCAAATTTGGATCTGGCGGTCCAGAGATCCGTAGTAATAGTAGCATATTCACATGTTTCATTAATTTGCATTTTAAGTTTGGTTATTCCATCCTGATAAGCTGCTACTATAAAATTCTTACATCCTTTATCAGATGGTGGTTTAAATCGTGGATCAATTTTTTTCATAAATCGCTGAAATCCTTTTCCACGAAGTGCATTAAAGGACAAAGAATCCAGAACAATCCATTCTATACATGCTGCTTGTAATTCGTTTTGTTTATTTGTGTTATGCGGTTTTACTTTTTCTATAATTTGTTCAAGTGTAACCTGTTCTTTTTTTCCCACCTATTACATATTACAGAATTATAATAATTTGGATAATGTAAATCTACTTATTAAGAATAATGATAACAATAAATTAAATAATACTTTTTTAGCCAGACTTTTAAGGACTATATCGTGTTCTTGTATTATATGGTAATTCATTGATGTTGTTGAATTTGAATTAGAACGATCATATTTACACTCGCATTTTTTTTTTTTCCATCTTGAGTTATTTCGACTTGACATACTGTGAAATTTCCTTCTAATTTAAAATATTGCCATGCTTCAGCTATGAGTCTGCGCTTTTTTCTTTTTTTTTGGTAGGCCGGTAGTTTTTTTGTCTTTTAATGCCGATGATGATTTAAAAGAAGATCCTATTCCTCTACTGTTATTATCATTAATGTCATATTCACTATCAGTTTCGAAATCATCATTAGCCCAAAGTTCATTATCCTGGATTTTATTCATCTCTAACAAAAGGAAGTTGATTCAACTTTTTTTTTTTTAAGGGTTGATTTTATTTGATTGCTAATTACTCCGATTCCAATTTAGGTCATACCGGTATATTACAAGAAATTGATTTAAAGATTATCACCATATTTTAATCGGTTGTGCATTAAAGGTAATATAGGATAAAAGAAGATATTATGGTGCGAGTAAGTAATGTGATAGGTTGAAAGACTTATTTTCCTGGTAATCAGTGCACTAATCATTAAATTCAGAACCCTATTTTATTCAAAAAGATGAAAAAAAAGGCTGAACACGAAAGATTATGAACAATCGATCATATAACTCTATGCCATGAATTGGTAATTTGGAAATTTTAGCAAAAAATTTTTATACAAATCCTACTGAATTTTATTACATACTAACTTACCATTTACTATTCTCATCAGGATCTATATTATCATTTTCTTCACTTTTCGTACTCTGCATATTTATGGCATTTGGATAAGTCACAATTTTTACTTGTTCATCACTTGAAATGGGCGGAGCAGCAGTACTACTAATTGCACTTTCACTGAAATAGCCATTTCTTGGCACACAAATATCAGATGAATGACAAATTAACATCTCTGGCTTTGAAGATGCAGCCGTTTTGATGTAATAATTTGTGAGGATACTCGTGCTGAAACTAATTATGCGCTCTCCACTAAAACTGGTATGTTAAGTTTTTGCCCTTGGTATTTTTTATAAAGTTCGTAAGGTTGGTGAAATGCTGTCAATGTGCAAATGGTATTGGACTTAAACCTTCTACTTATTATTAAATCGAAGATCAGGCCCAAATGTGTAATCATTTGTCCAGTTTATACGAAAGTGATACTAATTAAAAATGAGAAATTTTACATTCTAACTACAAGCCCTACCTGATCCGATCTCAATGTTCAATCTAATTTTTTTTTTGGGGGTTGTATCATTTGCAAAAATGAGTACTGGTACTTTTGTTTAAAAGCCTTAGAGAATTAGCAAGAATAAAATAAGAAACATAACCATCGCTAAATGTATGCTAGCATTGGATATGTAATAGTTATATCCTGGGCAATTGCGTATAACTGATATATGCCCTGCGATCTTGATATAGTGGCCAGGGTATATATTGTAGTTCTATAAGAATGAAAATACGCCAAGCTTCTAATATTACACTTTAAAATCCATTGATGATTGCATTAAAAAATTTCAAATGGATTTCTTTTGATAAATTAGACAAATTCAAAAGAATGCTGAAATACTTTCAGCA